GGCAACAGTACCAGGACATATTATCTCCCCTGATGGGAGATAATGGCCTGCAGGCAGAGCTGAACCCTCCTGGGATTCCGAGCAAACATTTTAGGGGTTACTTGCTGAGTATTTACACTTGTTGGAGACAGGGAAAGAGAGAGAATGTCTGAGCTAGAAGGGAATTTAAAAATTCTTATTTTTAAAGTAAGTTCTTTGAGGGCAGGGACTTTTCCCCCCTTCATTTTATCTTTGTATCTTCATCACTTAGCACAGTGCTTTGCACAAAGTATGCAGAACAGTGCTCTTTGGATTGAATGGTCCCACCACTATTTTACAGATAAGGGAACTGAGGTTCAGAGAAATTGAATGGCTTGCTCAAACTTATATGGGAGGACATATTGAAGGCAAGACTTTCCACAAGATTGTACTTCCCCAGGTCTCTGGACTCCCATATACTGTTATTTTTCATTATACCACACTGTCTCCCCTATATCCTGGGCCTGCAGAATCTATATGAACAAAGAATCATGGATTTAGAGTTAGATGGGATAGTAAAAGTCACCAAGTGCAACCCCCTGTTTTTGCAGGTGAGGAAATTAAGGCCTAGAGTAGTTGTGGTTTGCCCAGGTCATACATATAACAAATGTTCAAGGTAGGATTTGGACTCAGGTCATTCTGCTTCCAAGTCCCTTGTTAGAGCCACTATATCTCTTCTGATAGGACCACTGCATTCCCAGACTCTCCCCTCTTCCTTGCCTCCTCCCCCATGGGTTAGGATAGGTTTTCCCAAAAGGAAGCAAAGCTGACCATGGGACTTGATTGGCTGGAGGGGAGGGGGATGGCTGCCACACAAGGCTGAAGCCGCTCCCCTGAGCAGCTTTCTGGTAGCATCTGGCTTTATTGACACGGCTTCCTGGCCACCTGAGGGCATAAAAGGCTACAATCACATAGGGTCATGTCTCTTCAAACTTGGAGGCTATCCAAAGACTGCAGTCCTGTTGACCAGATGCATTTCCAAACGGAGAGGATTCCTCTCTCCTTAGTATCTTATTGAATATCCTTCCTATGCTTTGGCTAGGTGAGTCTCCTTTTAGTAACTGTTGAATAATTTGTGACTGCCCCATTTTGTCTCAGCATTGAACCAACAGGGTGCCAGCCTGTGTCAGGCCTTCCCTAATACCTCTATGCCCTATCTCCAAAAGGGGCTCCAGTAGATAGGGGCTCTGGAGCCACTGGAAAGGTTTGGAACCTGAGCCTCAGGCCAGTACATAAAGAATCCCCTTCCCTCTGATCTCCACTGACTGCATGTGCCCTTCAGGTGCTGCTCCCCCATCCCCACCTCCAGCGCAACACAGCTGGTGACAAGGAGCTTGGCACACATGGCTGTCTTGTGTGTTGGCTCAGCCAGAGGCTCTGAGTGGCCTGGCAGGAAGAGAGACCACAGACGTCCTCTGGTAACAACACACGCTCTGGACAGCCCAGACTGCCACCGCTTCCCTGATTCAGATCCAGTGGTCACGTCCAGCAATGGTCATAACGTTGTCCTGTTCTCCATGCATGGGACCATCACAGCGCCCACGGTAGGCACTGCCAAGGCCATGGCTACCCAGAGCCAGTTGTCATTTCACCCACACAGACCCCCTCCCAGGGGGCCCACTCTAATTTTGCTACCCTTCCCCTTCTTCCTCCCTGGCTCCCTTTCTTGTCGACTTCCCCCTTCTTACTCCTTACCTCCCCCCAACCCCTGCATAACACACATCCCCTTACTGACTCACTCTCTAGCTCCTTCTTCTTTTCCAGGTTCTGAGGCTTTCCTCAGCCCCTCCAGCTCTGACCTTCAGCCACAAGCTCATGCAGGATGCCTTCCACCACTGGTCCCTAGGGATTGCCCAACTCTCAGCCAAGCCTCTCTGGAGCTGTGCTAAATAGCATAAGCTGAAACAGATGGGGCACTGGTGAATGCCAGGAGAGAGCCATGAAAATCCCAAAGGAGAAATCAGGAAGGAATCAAGGAAAGGCCTTGAAAGGCCCCCACTGTTTGGGAGCTGGATAATCTAGCAAGAAGGATAGGGAGAAGAGCAGGTCAAGTGACCCACTTTCCTAAGGACCGCTTTCTTAAGCATCACCTAAACAAGCTACAATTGGCAGGTGCTCACAGCCCACTCCCATTGCTCCAGGAACAATCCTCCATTGTAGCAAAAAAAAAAAAAAAAGACAAAAGACAAAACTAACAAAAAGAGCCCCACCTTGTAGAAAGCCCCCTGGGCTAAGCATTAGCTAAGAGTCTTATGTTTGTGTCCTGGATTTGCCACTAGACGATGTCACTGTGTGACGCTGGGCAAATCACACTCCTTCACTGGGCCTCAGTCTCCTCCTACCCAAAATAAGCAGATTTGACTAGATCAGCTGTTCTTCACTCTTTTTGTGTGTCATGGACCCATTTGGCACCGCTTCACCCCTGGTTAAGCTTTTCAGAACAATATGTTTAAATGCATAACAAAATACAGAAGTTTCCGAAGGAAACAAATTATAGAAATAGTTATCAAGATATTTTTTAAAAAGTTCACTGACCCCGGGTTAAGAACTCCTGTACTAGAAGATCTGTAAATTCTCTTATAGCTCCAATATTCAAAACTGTAAAGTTCTTTCAAGCTCGATCAATATTATATAACCTAAGGTTCCCTCCAGCTTTGTCATTCTCTGTCCCAAGACCCCTTCCAGTTCTAACATTCTATATTCTAAGAGTTTTCCAGCTCATTATCTTTCCTCTAAAATCTACCTTTTAAAAAATTTTCCCTATGGGGGAGTTGGGGAAACACCATCATTTTTCCAGTCATCCAGGTTCAAAACCTTGAAGTTGTCCTCAACTTCTCACTCTCATTCAACCTCCACCTCCTATCTGTTGCCTAATTGTGTTGTTTCTATCTCTTGCATTGGTCTTCTTATTTTTACTTGCATGGTCACCATGCTAGTTCAGGCCCTCATCACCTCTCAGCTGAACCATTGCAATGGTCTCCTAATTGGCCTCCATGCCTCAAGTCTCTCTGTCCTCCAATCCATCCTCCACACAATTGCCAAAGTGATTTTCCTAGATTGCTGGTCTGACCATGGCACTTCCCCACTCAAAAATTGCAGTAGCTCCTTATTGCTTTTAGAATCAAATTTAAACTTCTCTGTTTGTTGTTTAATGACCCTTACAACCTAGCCCTAACCTACTTTTCAAGCTTTATTATGTATTAGCCCCATCCTGAAACTGTTGTTCAAATATGTCCAACTCTTTGTGACTCCATTTAGGGTCTTCTTGGCAAAAATGCTGGAGTGGTTTGCCATTTCCTTCTCCAGATCATATCACAGATGAGTAACTGAGGCAAACAGGATGAAGTGACTTGCCCAGGGTCACACAGTTAGTAAGTGTCTGAAGCCAGATTTGAACTCACGAAGATGAGTCTTCCTGACTCCATGCCTGGCACTCTATCCACTGTGCCACCTAGTTGCCCTGAAACTCTGTGGTTCGTCTAAACTGGCCTCCTCCCTCATTCTCACACATATTGTTCCTTCATCTCTGGGCTTTTCACAGACTGTCTCCATCCCTGGGTTGCACAACATCTTTACCTCTGCTTCTTAGAATTTGTGTTTTCCTTCAAAACTCAGCTTAAGTGACACCTTCACTATAAAGCCTTTCCTGATCTGCCCTTCCCTACTACTCAACTGTTAGTGCCCTCCCTGAATTATCTTGCATTTATTTGGGCATATACTTTGCATATACTAGCACATGCATATGTTGTATCTCCCAGTGAAACGTAATATATTTGAGGGTAGGGACTGTGTCACATTTATCTTTTGCACTTCGAGCATCTAGCCCAGAGTCGGCACGTAGGAAACGCTTAATAAAAGCTTGTTGATTGATTTGAGCATAGACCTTCTATGGCTTGAGATTTTTTTTTTCCTAGCTCTGACATCACATGTTCTGAAGCTATGGTTCCTGTTTTTTTCAAGTAGGAGAACCCCTCATTAATGTAAAAAATTTTCACAGACACTAATAGGATAGTATTTGTACTGTCAGTATCCTTCGAGAAAATATTTGTGTGAGCATAGCCCCCTTGTAGAAATAACTACATGTTCTCTAGGGGTTCATAGCTCATGGATTGGGAACCATTGTCTTAAGGCCCCTTCCAGCTTTAATGTTTTATGTTCTAGGGCCCCTTCTAGCTTCAATATCATATGTTCTGGAATTCTGATAACTGTCCATTTTTATCATCTGTCTTTCTCACCTGTGTGAAAATTGTTTTATTTGACCCCAGAGCATCCCTGTGAGGGAGGCAGGTTGGAAACTATTGTCTCTATTTGATAGATAAGGAAACCAAGGTTCAGAGGATGGATGGGACCTGCCCAAGATTGCCTTGCAAGTGAGAAGCAAACCAGGGTCTAGAACTCAGTTCTCGGGCCTCCTTGCTCAGTGCTGGTAGAGTCAGGAGAGGAGCTGATGACTGATAGCCAGTCAGACAATCAATGGTGTTAGCGGGAGGAAAGGGAGGACCAAGGGGCTGTAATGGGGAAGAAGTAGCTTGGCCTGGCTCCTGGATGCCTTACTGTATACAGTGCCTTGGAGATGTCACTGTGTCCTCAGGAGACAACATTCCTGAAAGCTAGGTGGCTCACTGGATAGGACAGAGTGGATAGAGTGTAGGGCCTGGAGTTAGGAAGACCTGAATTCAAATCCCACCTCAATATATTTACTAGCTGTATGACCCTGGGCAAGTCACTTAACCTTTGTCTGCCTCAGTTTCCTCACCTGTAAAATGGGAATAATAATAGCATCTACTTTCCAGGGTTGTCATTTGTAAGAACTGTTGTAAGGATCAAATGAGATAATATTTATATAATGCTTAGCACAGTGCCTGGAACATAGTAGGCAGTTAATATATGCTTTTTCTCTTCCCTTCTCTTCCCTTCCCCTTCCACATCTGCTGAAACAATCTTCAGGGCAGGGCGCAGCAAGAAACAGCAAAGCCAGAGGATCCAGAGCACCATGTTTAATATTAAAACCTTTCCCTTAAAAAAAAAAACGAACAAAAAACATATACAGATATGTAAAGTTGAGTGCGTAAAAAATAGTATCTCAGTTGTTTAAATGTGAGTTATTGTGAGTTTTAAGTATACACCTGTAAGCTAGCTGTGATGGTATCTTTGGTACCTTAGTGCCCTCCAATTCCCTTCCCTCCCACCCATGACTCCTCCTGTGACTTAAACAAAGGCTGGCAAGGAGTTGGGCTTCCCTGCAGGGGCTCAGATATAGAACTGAGAAGCTCAGAGTGGATTTGCTCAGGGCTACTCCTTGCCTAAGCATCTCTAGGGGCTCCTCTGGAAGACTGGTTTGGGTGGGGGGAGCCTAGAAGGAGGAGGAGAAAGGAGGATCGCCTATGTTCATGCATCCATGTGCTGGCATACCAACCACATCAGCTACCTATATCCTGATCACCTACCCTGTCCCTGTACCTACTCCCCAACCCACTGTTTAATTCACACTCAGAGGGCAACTGTTGTGCCTTAGCTGGGCCTGGCCCCTATCTCCATTCTAGTGAGTGGGGATCCACCCTCTGTTAGAGAAACTCTGGCTTTAAAAGTCCTCTTGGTCTAGGTTTAGCATGGGGGGAGCGGGAGCAAGAAAGGGCACTGGGGAGCAGAGAGGGTAGGAAATTGAGTTCTTTATGAATATCCAGGTCAAGGTAATGCTGGACCCCAGTTCTGAATTCAATGGGCCAGTCACTGTCCAGTGGGCTGACCCTCTGGGTTGTCTCAGTCAGATCCTTCACCATTAGCCTTGAGGGCCAAGGAAACCCGAACCCACTTATCCCAGCATTTCCACTACACTATATGTGCATGGGGTTGGTGAGGGCGAAGGAATGCACAAATTGATCCTTGCCTCTGTGCTCATAGATTAAAAGCCAAATAATGGATGAAGCAGGTTCCATTCAGGCCCCAACTGACAGGAGGCTTCTACTGACCAGGATAATGGGGGAGGAGAGGAAAGAGTCCAGGACAGGACAGTCAGATGGTCTTGAAATATATTTCCTAGTGCAGACGTGAACTTTCCAGTCCCAAAAGAAGCCTTAGCCAAGAGAGGATAGTGAGCAGGCTAGCCGAAGAGTAGACTCCAGGAGTCAGGGAAGCAGGCAAAATCATGGGTTTCCCCGGCTCCTAATCCCTGGTTCATGTTATATCCCCTCCCTCCACGTGAGCCTGGATGAAGCTAAACCATCCTGGGCATAGGAGAGAGCACATGCCCATCTGTCAAATGCCCTCAGAGGGGTCAGGTAGAGTGGAAGTCTCCCACCTTCTGTTTGCACAGTGTTGGGGCTTTCTTTCCAAGCTCAGGACCCCCAAATGGCCTGAGAAATGGGGAAGCCAGAATCTGCTCTGGGTGGCTAAAGGAAGGCAGGAGATGCTAAGAAAAAAGCTGCATAGGACAGTAGTTCCTAACTTCAGCCCCAAATGTAGCCTCTATTCCCTGTAAGTGGATGGAGATAATGGAGAACATCACCCAGTTATATGGGCAGGAGAACTAGAGGCAGGTGAACAGGAGGCCACCTCACTGGAAGGGAGGCTCTACCACTGTCCAAGTACATGGGGCTGATGTGGGTAGGGAGATCATCCAGAATCATCTTGCATGAGAGTTGGAACAGTCCTGAGAGGCCATCTCTCATTTTACAGAGGAGGAAACTGAGGCAAAAGGAAGCTAAATGACTTCTCCAAGGTAAACTAGGTGGTAAGCAACAGAAGTGGGTGATGGCATTCCTATCTTGACTGCCCAGGCCCCGAGATTTTCCCAGGGTCCTAGCTGGGTAGAGGAGAAAACAGCCTCACAAACTTGGCTCTGCGAAGGACCACTTCGTTCAATGACCTACTAGAGGGAATCGTTAAATTCGGAAATCACCTAGTACAGCCTCCCATTCCCTGCAGGGATCCTCTTTACAACTTTTCTGTTGGATGGTCTTCCAGTCTATCCCCAACCCCTGACGCAGCCTGCTCCACTGCGGGACAGCTTTGATCATTGAGTTCTTCCTTGGATTGAGCTCAGACCTTCTTTCCTGAAACTTCTACCCATCTGTCCTGCTTTGGATTACCACCCCATGGTGATGGTGGAGGGCGGGGGTTGAGCAGGGATGCATGAGGGTCATCAGGGGAAACGAGAAGCCGAAGAGTGGGAAGACAGCTCCCTTCTATGGACCCTCAGTCAAATGTCAAAGGAGAAATACAAAGGCGGAGGCCAGTCCAGCTGGCATGGGGGCAGGAGGACTCGAGGGGAGGAGTTCAGGGTTGATTGTATGTTCCTCATGTACCTTCCTTCTCTTCCAGGGAGAAGAGACTTTTGTGGGTGCCTATACAATCAAGCCTCTGGGAAAGGTGAGATCCTGGAGACAATCAACCCTTGGGAGCTGAGCAGGGGAGCACACAGAATAATGTTCTACTAGGATCCCATGTCCTCTGCTCCTCTCTCTCTTCCACCAGGGGTCAAAGTCTGGAGGGACCCTTTTCTTCCCTTCCTTCTCCCCAAGAGGCAGACAGTCTCAATGCAGGCAGAGACCTCAGCCACCTGGTGACTCAGGCAGAAGGCACAGTTGCTAGGAGCCTGGTCAAGGCTTGGCCACCGTGTGGCTCCAGTCCTGGGTAAGTCTGAAAGCCAGAGGCGGGTGGAGTCTGGAGAGAGAGTCTCCTCAGCCTGCGGATGCCCACACCTTCCTCTATATTCTAAGCACTGAGTAGTGTTCATCAGTGCCCCTCCCCTGTTCCCTCAACAGGATTAAAAATCCCCTAATTTGCCCAGGAAATCCGTGTCTCAAGCAGAGGCTGGGGTTGGTTGAAATAGGAGGGTCAGGGGACCAGGCAGCCGCATTCAATGCCGGAGTCTCTGCAAAATGCCCTTTGCTTTAACCTTTTCCCAAGGGAAGACTCTTGGCTGGGAAAGAGCCCAGGGGGCTCCTCATTGAGGCAGACCAGTCCCTGCCACATTTGGGCTAGAAATCTTCTATCCCATAATGAAAAGGGCCAGCCACCACCTCCCCTCTTCACCCATGGGGGAGGCCAGCGTTCATCTGGGAAGGAGAACGAGAGAGGAGAGTCCTTAGAGCAGAGGCAGGGGTGGGGGTGCCTGCTCTCCTCCTGGGTGGGCCCAGCTACAGGAAGCTATCCTCCACTTCCTGGTGACCCAGGCCTGGCCTGGGCTCCGGTTCTGGCTCCAGCTGTGGCTCGGGCTCGGGCTCTGGCCCCCGCTCTGGCGCCTCTGACTCGGGCTCTAGTTCCTCTTGTAGCTCCAGGGGGCTGTCACAGGAGATGGTGGATGATGTGTTGGCTTCGTTCAGGGTAGAGCTAGAAGAAAAGCCAGGCTAGTAAAGGACCAGTGGGGGGAAGGATGGTGGCTATGGACCTGTCCTCCCCTGAAATGCTCCCGCCTGTCAATACTCTTCCTAAAACATGATGCCCATGTGATACTCCTGATGGAATCTGATAAGAGCGGAGGACTACGGGATGATCATCGCCTTGTTTGGGAGCCTTTGCCTCTCTTCAGGCAGGCTAAGATCAGATTAGCTCATTGGGGGTGCCATGTTCCCCCAGATGACCCATACGGAGCTTGAGGTCCCTAGGAAACCCAGGTCCTTTCGTATGAACCATTATCTGGACAAACTTTCATTATTCTAGAGCATGAGAAAGGATCATATGGTTGAGGGTGAGCTTTGAAAACCAGCCTGATTGGCTGCCTGGTGTCTCTTTCCTCCTGCTCCCTGCTATCATTTTCTTTGCACCCTTTTGCTTTGCATAATCAGGACTCTGACCATAGTGGAAGCTCAGGATGGACACACTACAATGAGGCTAGAACTTCCTTGCCGGAGACAATTGACTGAGAAGGCATGTTCCACTTACCTAGCAAGGCTGTGGGAACTCTCCAGTGGGGCCACATCGGGTCCTTCAGGCTTAGGGTCCGGCAGGGGGATAATGTAATCATTGTCCCCCTCATTCTGCTGCACAGCCGTATAGAGGACAGAGCTGGTGTTGAGGGGACCCCTCGGGCCACCAAATGCAGGGAGCTGAGCTCGGGTCCGCAGAATGGCTGGGTGGTCACTCCTCAGAAATTCTTCATCTACTTGCTGGTACTTCTGTTCCCACGGGGAAAGATGGGGGGCGGTGAGTGGGACGGCATCGGCTGACGCGCCAACCAACTTTGCTCTTTCTAGCCTCAACGTTCTGTGTGCTGTGATTCTAACGAATCACGTCTGCTTCTCACCTGTGTCTCATTTTATTTTTTTTTTCAGGGAGGGGGAAGGCACAGATCAGAGTCCAGACACACCCTACCCAGTACTCAATGAGATTAGGGTCTCCAAAATAGCCACAGTTGGAGACATATGACTTACATTCCTGCCTCCACCATGGTGGGGCCTCCCTTGCTGTGAAATGGAAGCAAAAGTAGGGGTGGGGATGGGAGGCACTTCATTAACCCTTCAGCCTTGTCCAAGAAATTGGCCTGGCCCAGGCTGCTTCCCCACTGTGTTGAGCACCGCATCTCACACCCATTTTGCCTCCATCTACACAACTGCTTAGTGAGGCACAGGGGAAAAAGTCAGATTCTCTCAACTCTTTTCTAGAGACACAGAATCACAGGATATCAGAGCCAGAAGGGACTTCTATCTATAACCTCTAGTCTGACTCTTCTTTCACAGAGGAGGAAAGAGAGATCTTGGGAGGGGAAGTGAATCTGTAAGTTCTCAAGGATGACCCAGACTTACTGGCAGCCATAGGACATTAGGCTATGGTGTGTTTGGGGGTGCAGAGTGGGGGAAGCTGTCTTAGGCAGTGATACAAGTAGGGAGGAGTGAGCAAGCCATCAAGTCAGGTGCAGCTTACAATGAGAGGGCACAGGAACCCAGTAGCTGCTCCCCGGCTCCCCAACCTGCAGAGGAGGGGCTGAAGCCACAGTCTGTTTCCTGCCTGCCTTCCCAGCCTTCTCCCCCCACCCCCACCTCTCATTCTTCTCTTACACTTCCTTTGACGTTCCAATCCAGCTGGCCCATGGTCTCTTTCCATCCTCCCCACCTCGCACATATTCAATCTCTCTTCAACTTTACTTTTCACAATCTTGTATTTTTCTCTGCCTGTCTCAGCTCCAGTGCCACCTCCCAAAGCTTTCCCAATCCAATCCACATCTTTTTAGTGCCTATATGTGCCAGACACTGTGGCCCTCCTAGTTGTTGATGTTCTTTCTCTCCTCAAATTACCACGTGCTTAATTAGCTCTTATTTCATCCCCTACTAAGTTCCTTGAGGGCAGAGATGGTTTTGTTTTTAATCTTTGTATCAGTGATGTACAGAATATTGCCTTGCACGTAGATGGCAGTTTAATGAATACTGACCTGTACTGTACTGTGAAGAAAAGGTGATGACATTTAGTTTGGGAGTGAGATTTGGTGGTCTGATAAGGACTTTAGGAACCCAGGGCAAAAATAGGTCTGGAGCTCCTCCCAGCTTTATATACCTTTATATAAAGTTATTAAGTCCAGCTTCAGTGTGAGATCACTCTCTTCCAGTTAGCCTTCCCTGGTTCCCCTTCTCCACATCCCCACCTCAAGCTGAAAGTGCTCTCTCTTTCTTCTGAAGGAATGAGCGACAAGGCCACTGACCACAATTTACCTTCTTGTAGCCCTCCCCCAGGAGGCCCTCCATCAGAATGACCAGCTGAGAGAAGGAGGGTCGGATCTCAAATTTCTCCTCCCAACACTTCTGCATGATTTCATAGCTGAGGGGGAAAGAAGAGAGTTTGAGGGACTCGGAATCTGCATTTCCCCTTGGATCAAAAGCTGGGGTTAGAAAGGGGGCAGAGGCAGGGAGTTGGGGGTCCTGAGTTCGTTGGGTCACACTTACATCTCTTCTGAGGCATGGGTGGGCTTGGCCATGCGGTAACCACGCTTGATGGCATTGTAGAACTGCTCATTCATGGGTAACTCTGGGTAAGGGGTGCCGCCTGCCAGGGACACAAAAAATCACAGAATCAGAGATTCGCAGGGCATTGAGCTGGTAAATGCCTGAGAGCAGCACGGAATGGAGAGTTGTAAAGAACCTTAGTGATTAACCAGATTAACTAGAACAACCCCTTTATTTTACAGATGGAAAAACTGAGACCCAGAGAGATTAAGTGATTTGTCCAGGGTCACGCAGGCAACAAATGCTGGACAGTTGGAAATTGCAGAATAGACTCAGAGTGGGAGGGCATCTAGTCCAATCTACAATCCAATACTGGAGTACCCTCTACAATGTCCAGCCTTTGTTTGAACATTTCCAGTGCTGGGTAACTCAATATTTAAAGAGGTAACCTGCTCCATTACTGCTAAGTTAGGAAGTTCTCCTTTACCCTGACCTGAAATCACCTCCCTGGGACTTCCTCCCACTGGTTCTCTTCTGTCTTCTAGGGGTTATTACCAGCAAATTTAATCTCTTCCACATGACAGTTCTTTTTGTTTTATTTTGTATTTGCTTTTTGGTGATGCAATTAGGGCTAAGTGACTTGCCCAGGGTCAGACAACTAATAAGTGTCAAGTGTCTAAGGATAGATTTGAACTCAGGTCCTCCTGACTCCAAGGCCGGAGCTCTATCTACTGCACCACCTAGCTGCCCCTATGACAGCTCTTTAGGTATTAGAAAACGGAAGTCACGTCCCCTCAGAATCTTCTCTTCTGCAAGCTAATGGCGCAGGGGTTGCCTTCTTCTCTGGAACAGGTTGGGAGAAAGCATGCCTCATAACTCTGGGGTTTACTCTGAATAAATCTAATCTCTTCCACATGACAGCTCTTAGGTGTTAGAAAACCAGAGTCATGTCCCCTCAGAACCTTTTCTTCAAGCTAATGGAGTAGAAGGTGCTTTCTTTTCTGGAACAGGTTAGGAGAAATCACGCCTCATAACCCTGGGTGTCCTTCCGCCAATATCCTGGACAAAGGTGTGCCCTTTAGAAAGTGGGGGAAGGTTGGAAATATGGAAACAGGGATGCACTGAAGAACATAAGATGAGGATGAGGAAACTCTCTGGAAAAAAGGTCAGATACCCCCCTTGTAAGGGAGGACTGAGGCTAGAGTCAAAGGTAGGGTCCTTGCCCTTGTGGTAGGGGTATGGCAAAGGAAAGGTCACAGGGGACATTCCAGGGAAGTGATGGACAGGCAGAGCCCATACCCAGGGTGAAGATCTCCCACAAAAGGATGCCAAAGGACCACACATCGCTCAGGGTGGTGTACAGGCTGTTGAAGATGCTCTCTGGAGCCATCCACTTCAGGGGCAGGAAAGTCTAGGAGGCAGCAAGAGATCCGGTTAATATGGAAGGGGGCTCCACCGACCCCACAAGTCTGCATTCAACCCAACAGAGGCCAGAGAGGCACTGATTTCAAGGAGACCCTTCTTCCTCTTCACTGTAGGTAAGGACAGCTCCTTACCGTCTAAGCCAGAAACCTGCGAAAGAGATGCCAAACATTTTCAGACAGAATAATCATAGTTCATAGAATCACACACTCGGAATGGACTCTCGGAAGTCATCTAGTTCAATCTCCTCATTTTACAGAGGAAGAAACTGAGTCATTCTAGGTCACACAAGAGATGTTGATAGCAGAGTGGGATTCCAACTTAGGTCTTTTGACTCCAAATCCAGAGCTCTCTCCACTGTACTGTGCTGCCTCCAAACCATGTGGAAAGTGACAGCTACCAGTCCTGATCACTCTTAGACATGAAGACATTACTCAAAGCTTGGACAACTCCAACCCTGAAGTCTCAGCTAATTCAAGAATTAAAAGGCCTGGGGTGGCTGGAGGTTACTGTCCTTCCTCTCTGACCCTTTTCCAGGCCACTAGGCAAGTGACTAGATGCTTTCTCAGGGGCTTTTTCCTGAGGTTTCTAAAATATGGAGACACTCCCTTCCTGGGTAGCAGCCTTTCTTGGGTTACAGGCTTAAAGTTTCCCACCTTCCTCCTGGAACAGGTCGTGGGACTCAGAATAGCATTCCACAGAGGGGTGCCTGACAAAGACCTCCACAGAATGCCTGATTGCCCTTGTGTTTTGCATATGTCATGCATGTGCTTCTATATGTATTTGTTGTCTTTCCTGATAGACTGGAAACTCCCTGAGATCAGAGACCATCTTTTTCACTTTTGTATCCTCAGAACCTAGCATGGTGTGTGGCATATAGCACCTCCCAAGTGAGCTGTCCTTGAGACTATAGATGCCCAACCATTTATGTACCGTAACTTCAGACTTGGGCTAGCCTAGAAAATCCTTCTCTGCCCTTAGCCACCTCATAGGGGTATTCCTCAGGGGGATAGAGAAGGCTCTTTACAGGCCACATCCTGGCTTCAGCCTTCTTGTGGAGATGGCCCCCATGGGGAGAAAAGTTAAGGGGTAATGGGTTTGATGTCAGGGATGAGAATCTACTTTGCACCACCAAGATTTGAGCATGATGTGGTGGGGTCACAGCCTAACCTCTACTGTCACTGCAATCATAGAGCTGACTAAGAGTCAGGGAAACTTGAGTTCAAATCCTGATTCAGGCACTTACCGGCTGTGTGACCCTGAGTCACTTTGTGTATAATCTCTTAGCCTCAGTTTCCTAATCTATAAAATGAGGCTAATAATAGCACCTACCTTCAGGGTTGTTGTAAATAGCAAATGAAATTATAGGTATGTGTGTGTGTATGTATGTATATATATATATATATATGTGTGTGTGTGTGTGTGTGTATGTGTGTGTGTGTGTATGTGTGTGTGTGTGTGTATGTGTGTGTGTGTATACATATATATATATATAAATACACACACACACATATATATATATATATATATAATAATTTGCAAACTTTAAGGCATCATAAAATGGTATTATTATCATTGTTGTTGTTATCATTATCACCCTCATCTCCCTTCACCCACCCATGAGGCTTCCCTGAAACTAAACTCCAGAAACCCAGATGTTGGTAGGAAGCAGATCCCCTTAAGCAACTCAGTGCTGAAATTGGCCTTGCCTGGAGGCTTGCAAAGGGCTGAGGTTTCATTTCCTGTTGGGAGAGAATGGTAAACCCCATCCTGAAGACTGATGGGAAAAGCCCCAGGCTAGACAGCTGGGGCCTGTGGTTCAAGATGGCAGCAGCAGTCAGGGGCTGAGTTGGGGCAGGGTCCTGACCTAGTCTTTTTCCCAGAGGGAACCCCTAGAGAGGAAATCTGCTTTAGAGCATAGAGTCTTCCACAGGTCCATCATTGACAAATTTAAGTAATGGACGTGGGGGGGGGGGCGGCGCGCTACTAAAGGACCATGTTTAACTAAATTGAATGTCTTTCTGGGCTGCCTCCTTGCCACCTGGCACAGGGCAGTGGGTGGGCATAGACCTGTACACCCATTTGTGAGGAATTAAATTGGTTGGAGAAAATTGTGTGTGCCTGTTACTGTACACGAGGCACCCCATGTTGTCTAAGTGTTTTGTGGTGAATGGGGTGGGGAGGGGAGAGGGTAGTTCCCTGATGGTGGTGAAGGGGGTGGTGGTGGCGGTTGGGGATACAGCTGTGACTCATTTGAACCTGGGGCAGAAGAGAAGCTTTTGCAAAGGTGAAAAACAAATTGTGCTCTCCCTTCTCCCTTCTTCCTTCCCCCACTTCCCCCAGATAACTAGCAAATAGCATGAAGCACGTCCTCAAACACTATCGCGGTGAGAGGCGGCTGTATGGGTGGAGTGGTGGGGCTTGGGCCTAGAGAAGAGCTCCTCTGGTTTGCTAGAGGGGGGAGGAAATTCATCGTCATCTAGCTGGTCATCTCATCCTTTCCTGTTTTAACCATTTATACTTGTTCAGTAAGTGCTGAACTCTATTGTTTTCAGTGCTGAAAGACAAGTGCCAATCAGAGCCCTCTAAAGTTTTCTGCCCTCTTACAAAGGCCTGATCCTCACTCTAGTTAGGTTCTGGGGAGGGCCCAGAAAAGACAGTAGTATGAAATGGAAAAGGAACAGAGAGTTGGATCAGACTGGGTGAGGATTGAGAGGGGATATTTTAATCTTTTAATCTCTTTTCCTTTCTTTCTGTATTCTTTGCTCCTTCCTTCCTTCCTTTTTCCTTTTTTCCTTCCTTCCTTCCTTCCTTCCTTCCTTCCTTCCTTCCTTCCTTCCTTCCTTCCTTCCTTCCTTCCTTCCTTCTCTTCTCTCTCTCTCTCTCTCTTCTCTCTCTCTCTCTCTCTCTCTCTCTCTCTCTCCCTCCCTCCCTTCCCTCCCTTCCTTCCTTCCTTCCTTCCTCCTTCCTTCCTTCCTTCCTTCCTTCCTTCCTTCCTTCCTTTCTTTCTTTCTTTCTTTCTTTCTTTCTTTCTTTCTTTCTTTCTTTCTTTCTTTCTTTCTTTCTTCCTGTGAACTTAACTACTCCTCTGTATACTCCAGGAACTATGAGGAAGCAAACCAGGTCTTTTACCCTAGTCTTCGTGGCAACAGCCACTGAAATGGACCAGAACAAGACTGGAAGTAGATGGAAAATGACCAAAGGATTTAGAGTTGCAACTGGTCTTAGCAAACATCTAGTTCCTTATCTGACCAAGGAAGAAACTGAGTCTCAGAAAGGGGAAGTGGATTACTCAAAGTTTTTTTTAAGTAGCATCATAGGATCATCTAACCAAATCAGGGGTTCTTAACCTATGATTTAAAAAATTTTTTTTGATGACTCTATTTCAATGTGATTAATTTCCTTTGTAATCTTCTGCATTTTATTTTATTCATTTAAAAACATTTTTTTGAGAAGGACTCCATAGACTTCGCCAGACTACAAAAGGGACACACAGAAATTCAAGAACTCTTGCTCGAGAGCTCTATGGGATGCCAGAGACCATCTAGTCCCACCTACAGATGGGGCCCAGGAGAAGGGAGAGGTTAAGCAGCTTGCCCAGAGATACACAGGGACTGGGCCAAGGCCGTTTTTCATTCTGTTGCCCAGAAAGCTGGCCTGACTTCCATGGAAAGGCTAAGGGTCTTTTACGGTAAGGTCTTCGTGTTCCATAGCTCGTGAGTTCTGAATTTTGCAAATTTCTGTATTTTCCTTTCTTTTTTCTTAGCTCTTTTGGAAACTCCACCCTCTGCTTCTGATGATTCAGGGGAAAGAGGCCAGGAATGGAGCAGTAACAGCTGCAGAGAGATGTAGAAGGGGGTGTCTCACCCCCGAGCCTCTCAGCAAGAAAGTCAGGAAATACATGGAAGAAAACTTAGGGTCAGGCTTGATAGGTGCTCAGCTACGTGAAAGCCCAGCCCTTTCCAGCCTGAGATTAGCAGACATTGATAGGGACTTTATTTACGTCATCTCACACGAAATCCATGTCCCTGCGAGGGGGGAGGGTAGGTATTACCTCCATTTATTAACACCATTAATTTCAGCCAGTATGAACTAGGGACACCCCTCTGCCTGTGGTGGAGGGTAGGGGCACAGGCAGATTTCACAGTATATTTCCAAACTAAGCCTGCACAGTCTGGGGACTGTCTTTACTGTTGTTCACTCTCCATGAAGAGAAATCGGGAAAACACAAGAAATAATGCCCCGCTTAGCAGAACCAGGTAACCAAGACAAGTGGTCCCATGTCTAAGAGTCTCCATTATTGCAGGTGAAGGAGACTGACCCAACACACTAGCTACCATCTTCATCTCTCTCACTGCCCCGCCCTCCCAACTTTGGACTCTGCCCAGGTAGGTGAGCTTTCCCTTCCTCTTGTACGAAACCAGGCCTCCACTTCACTGGCTGGCCATCTCCATACCATGCCACAGAAGCGTACCCCTTCCTCCCTTTCCAGCTCCCTTTAATCTGTTGTCTTCCTCCATTAGAATGTAAGCTCCTTGAGGGCAAAGATTGTCTTGTGAGCTTGTATTTGTATCACCAGCACTTAGTGCAATGTTTGGGACATAGTAAGTGTTTAACAAATGTTTATTAAATGCTTTCTCTCTCTCTCTCTCTCTCTCCTTCTCTCCCTCTCTCCTCTCCTTCTCCTTTCCCTGTCTCTCCCTCTGTCTCTTTTTCTCTGTTTCTGTCTCTGTTTCTTTCATTCTCTCTCTCCCTTCTTGTTTTCTTTTCTCTCTCTCCTATCCCTCCCTCTCGTTGTCTGAGTCTGTTTCTCTGTCTTTCTCTCTCTGTCATATGTGCGTGTGTGTGCGCGCATGCGCGTGTGTCTTTCTCTATCTCTCTGTCTTTGTTTCTATCTGCCTCTCTCTCCTGAAGTCCTCTGGGATAAGAGTGGAGCATCTACTCACACTGCCCTTGGAGATGTAGTTGGAGTCACGCATGATGTCCCGGGCCAGGCCAAAGTCACAGATCTTGACAAGTTTGCCCTCACAGATAAGCACATTCCTGGCTGCCAGGTCTCGATGGACGCACTGTCATAGAAAGGAGTCGGTTTGAAGCCATATTTAGGAACCAGGCAATAGCACAGGATAGTAAGCTGGGGTACCATCAGTCAATTACCCAACAAGCATTTCATAAGCCTATTCTATGCATCAGATGCTGTGCTAAGCACTAGGGATACAAAGAAAGTTAAAAGTTAAAATATAGTTCCTGCCCTTAAGGAGCTTACATTCTAATAGTCTTCTGAGCCATGTGAGGTGAGAGTGCAAAGAACAAGGGGGATTCTGGGGGTGTGGGGGCTTTAGGCACACTTGAAATAGTTAAAACTATTTCCTCCTACAGACTGGCCCATGGGTATGAACTTCCAGGGGACAGGAACTTGTAGGGGATGATGTCACCCATACTCTATTACTCACTGGGTGAGTTGCTTCCTCTTTTCTGAGCCTTAGTTTCCTCATCTGTAAAATGAGTGGGGTAGGACTTAATAATCTCTAATGTCTTCCAGCTATAAATTCCATGATCTTAAGTAGAAACTCCTCTCCTGACATTTAGAGCTGGAAAGGATCTTAGAGATGATGTGACCAAGCTCCCCATTTTGAGATAAACTATGACCTCACAACCCTGGATGGTAAGGTCCGGAGAGGAGAGGGGATTTCCAGGGTTACTGAGGTGGTAATAAGTAGAGGTAGTATCTGAACCCAGCTCACCTGACTTCATATCCATTGCTTTTATGCTCACTGCACCACAGTGCCATCTTTCTAGCATGGACACCATTTAGTCCATCCTGCAATTTTCTCTCCCCTTTCTCCCAGCATCCTTTGCTCCAACCAGCATGATACCCTTACTGTCCCCACCAGAAGACTATTCTCTACCACCTCTGGGCTTGTGTTCATGTTGTTCTCCTTTTCTGGGATGGCCCTCTGCCTCATTTCTGCCTATCCCACCTAGTCTTCTGCTCAGGAAAGACTTCCGTAACTGAGATGTAGGGAGATCAAGATGAACAAGGGTTGTTCTCAAGATGCAGAGGCCTAAGTTTGAATAATGGATTGGATGCTTATTACCTACATGCCATTAGGCAAGAACTTAACCTTTTTGAGCATCAGTTTCCTCATCTGTAAAATGGGAATAACTATTTATAAGTGCTACCTTATTCATAGAGTGTGTGTGTGTGTATGTGTGTGTGTGCAAGAGAGAGAGAGAATAGCTTTGTAAATTTAAAGCACCATATATAAGTACTTTGTAAACTTCAAAGTACTATGTTTAAAAAGTTAGAATTACTCCAGCCCATACTCGTTTCTCCTCCTCTAAAATCCTATTGTATTTATATATTTAAGAAGAAAAGAAAAAAAGGAAGGAGGAAAGGAAGGAAGGAAAGAAGAAGGAAACCATTTTTTAAACACCTACCTACTATGTGTCAGGAACTATGCTAAGTACTTTGCAAATATTATCTCATTTGAGCCTCACAACAACCCTGGGAAGTAGATGCTATTATTATTCTTCCCATTTTACAGTTGAGGAAGTTGAGGCAGACAAAGGTTAAGGGACTTGCCCAGAGTGAAACAGCTAGTAAGTGTCTGAGGCAGGGTTTGAACTCAGGTCTTCCTGAGTCCAGGCCTAGTGCTCTGTGCACTTAGCTGGCATTTAATCATATTACATTGCTAGCTTTGCTCTTCCAATTAAAAGTTTTACATGTTTATATCTTCTTTCCCCACCATAAGATCATAAGAGTAATGATGGTGGATTTTACATCTCTTCTACCCAACGTTTATGATGGAGGCGTGAGCACACAGTAGGTGCTTAATTTCTAATCACTGACTGACTGATTAATTGGTGTACATCCTTTGGGATGTCTCTCAGGGCAAGGGCAGAAGGGCGGTAATTCCCCCTACTCTAGCAAACTGTAGGTTATAGGATTGTAGGAGTTAGAGCTGGAAGGAGCCTCAGGAAACATTTATTATAACACTCTCATTTGGCAGATGAGGTAATAGAGACAGAAAGGTTCAAGGTCACATAGGTGACAGGATTTGAATCCAGATTCTTTGACTATGGGGAGAGTCCTTCTTTCAATACTCCAGTTTTCTCTCCATGGGTTACTTGCTAAATGTCCAAGTGCTCTCTGGCAGCACCATGACCGATGCCAATGGCCCTCGGGCTTAAAGGCCTTATTCTCCAACTGATCTTTGTTGAGTTCACCCCCTCCAGAGTACCACATGATGATTCAGGGACAAAAGAGAGGGTTAGGGTTAGTGTTCTAGAGTAATGATGATTGTTCAAGCTTTCTTGAGCATCTGGGTATATGTAAGAGGGTGAGGGGGCATGGATGGAGGCTAAGGAAGATGTTGAGGAAGGATTCAGTGGCACATCAAAAAATCATGGAATCATAGGCTCACAGATTGGAGCTGGAAGAGATCTCAAAGGCCACTTAGTTTAACCTCATCATTATACAGATGAAGAAATTAAGGCCCAAGTTGTTAAAGTAACTTGCCCAAGGTTCCAAAACATTAATACTAAGCTTTAGAAGTGGGATTTGAACTCCTCAAGTAGGTGGCATAGTGGATAAAACACCAGGCCCGGAGTCAGAAAGACTCATCTTCACGAGTTCAAATCTGGCCTGAGACACATGCTCCCTGTGTGACCCTGGGCAAGTCACTTAAACCCTGTTTGCCTCAGTTTCCTCATCTGTCAAATGAGCTAGAGAAGGAAATGGCAAGCCACTTTGGCATCTTTGCCAAGAAAAGCCTAAATGGGGTCACAGAGAGTCAGACATGACCGAAACAACTGAACAACAACAAGATATAATATTCTATAATATTATAACTAATAACTTGGAATTCTAGGGTCAGGAAGGCTTCCTGCTTACATGCTGGGGACATATTTCTCATTGGTTTTCTCATTGGTTTTTCATTTTGAGTTGACAGAATGCAAGCTGCTTGAGGACAGGAATGGGTTTTTTTTCTTTGTAACCCCAGTGCCCTGCATGGTGTCTGGCCCGTAGTTGACATTTCAGAAACGCTTGTTGATTAATTGATTGATAGAGCACTTAAAACACTTTCCCTGTTTTAAAGCTCCATGTAACTGTCAGCTATCAGTATCTCTTTCCCAGCCCCAGCCCACGATACGTACATTCTTGGAAGCCAGGAACTCCATGCCATTGGCCACCTGGTAACTGAAGCCCACAAGGTCCATGTAGCTGAGGATAGGGGATTCGTTGATCAGGGTTGTCCTGTAGGATCTCTCAGGAACTGGAGGGTAAAGGAAGTGAGAAGGATGTATGATGCTTACAATGGTTTTCACTGCAGAGCCCGTCAAATGTTTTCTAGCATTTGGATGGCATGGAGCTGACTTCATCTCCCCCTAGCGTCCCTCCAAGGGGAAGACAAAGAATCCTGGATCTACTAGTGACCATGAAGGGACAGATAATCCATTTCCCTGGCTTAAGACAAGACTGCATTTCAACTCCCTGGGCCGTTGGAATTGACCTTTCAAAACTCTTAAAAAAAAAAAAGATTCTGCCTTCTCTTTTGGTACCCATCCTAGAGTCCAACTACCTGAAATGCCAGGAAGTTCTTGCTGATGACTATCCTAAATGTTATATCAGCCTGATCTTACTCCCTCTTTCGCAGGAACCCCAATGCCATCCTTACTTCATCCTTTAGCCTCCTTTTGCTCTTACCTCAGCAGCTGATTCTTCACCCCAAAGAAGCTGGAAGTTCCCTCCCCAACTCCACTTCCCCTGTCCCGGTAGGGTTTGGGTTGATCCCTCTTTACCTACCAGAGGGTGCGTAGCTATCATAGGGTGAGCTGTAGTTGGAAGATTCAATATCCACGTACATGATCTCTCCCTTCATGCCCAGCATTGGTACGTAGTCCATGCAGTCATCCTTCCTCATGTCCATGTAGCCTCCATCACTCTCCCCTGATAGTGATGTTTGTCTGGGGGCCGGCAGACATATAGACAGACCAATGATTCCAAAGAATGGAAATTAAAATTGGACCATTTGATCGCTGAGGACCTGTCTAGCTCTCACATTCTATGTTCTATTGCTTAAAGTCCCCTCGTGTCCTGGCATTTTATGTTCTAAGCTCCTTTTCAATTTCAGCAATTTTTGTTCTCAGATCTTTTTCGGTTCTGGTGTTCCATATTCAGCCTTTTTTTGTTCTAAGGTCTTTTTTAGCTCTGGTGTTCTATGTTCAAATTCTATGTTCTGTGTTCTAAGATTTCTTCTAGCTCCAACATTCCATGTTCTATAGTCTAAGTACCCTCCCAGCTCTAATATTCTGCCTCCTATGACCTTATTCATGTGATAGTTTATTTTGTCCAGAGCTGAGTATTGTGGTTCCCATCCCACAGAAACCTTTCATACTACATTATGATGGATTACTGGGAGGCAGCAGTAACATACTAGAATTGGAAATGCTTGGCACAAGAAGAACATCCCAGGATCAGTGCTATTGCGGGCCAAATCCTACATCTTTGTTCCTCTGTGCCCTTGCCCTGGGAGTCTAAGTTCAAGACTTAGAGTCAGAGGGATGAGAGTATATCAAGATAAGGGGGTAGTGCACTCCTAGTGGATGGATTCTTATTGCATTCCCTTTGGCCAAAGGTACTGAAAGTGACTTCCTACCATGGAAGCAGTATATTGGGGGGGAGGGGAAAAATAGGGATAGCATTCCCTGACAAAGCAACAGCATCTTAGAACCTTAGGGTTTAGAGGGACATTAAAGCATACCTAGTCCAATCCACTTTGTAGGGGAAAAGGCAATAACATTTTCAACAAGAGTTAACCAGCCTTTGTTTGTATATCTCCAACCTTCACCCAAAACAAATTTTGTATTTTGGAAAGCTCTAGTTATCATAGAAGCTTGGAGCTGGACGGGATTTTAGAAATCACCTGGTCTAATTCCTAATTCTAGATAAACTTTCTAACCGATAGAAAATTTGACCTTCTATTAAGCTGAAATCCACCTTCCTATAATTCCCATTCAGTGGCTCTACTTCTGGTCACAGGGACCAAGCCCCTCTTTCACATGAGAGCACTTCAGATAGCTAAAGGCAGTTCTATGCTTCTTCTTGAAGATAAATAATCCAGTTGCCTTAACCATTGCTCATGGACTTCAGAACTTTCATAATCCTGGTCCCCGCCTTCCTCTTATCATCACAATGCTCCAGGAAAGGTCTGATAAGGATGAGGATAAGAGAAAAGAAACTATGATGGTTTCTATGTTCCATGTTCATTGAATTTAGACCAGACCCCTCCACCACCATCTCTGACCATACCCACTCTGACCATAAATAACTCAGTCCTTCCCAACCTCAATCATATTCTACCCTCACCACCATGGACCACAACCCCACCTGGACAAAACCCTGGTCACACCATACCCTGATTCCACCTTGGGCCAATGGAGGGGCAGATGAGGGGCCAGAGAAAAGGAAAGGAAGATAAAAGGAAGGGGTGAAGTTTGGGAGAGCAGGGGAAACAGGATCTGAGCTGAGAGAAGGGGGTAGTGGTGGATAGAACCTCCCTTGAGGGTAGGAAAGTGAAGTATATGAGTCACCTGTGCAACTGATGCTCAGGATGGTCCAGGATCTCCGAGGACTGGTAAGGCCCTCCCTTCTCAGGGCAATGCTGCAGGAATGTGTGCTTGGTTCGATGCAGGTAATCCACAAGGTCTCCGTAACGACAGTACTCTGTGATGATGTAGATGGGGCCTGGGGGAGACAGGAGTTTTGTGTGTGTGTGTGTTCATGAGTGTGGGTGTATTTGCATGAATGCATGTGTGTGTGTGTGTGTGGTGTGAGTGTATGTGTATGTTTTCGAGATCGTGTTTATGAGTGTGTATGTGTAGATGAAGGATTAAAAAAAGGGTTTGGGGGCACTCTACCATAGGTCTTCACTCCTTTAGTTCAAAATTTAGGGTTTCTTCCTCCAAAGAGTTATTCTCAATTATTTTACCCTTTTTCTAACCCACCAACAGCAGGCTCAATCTATTTCTCCTCCATGTTGGGTTTGTCCCCAGGGGTTCAGGCCACTATTTACTGTTCCTTCTTGCTTTCCACTCCAGGCAACATCCCTGGGCGTGCACTCCAAAGTTCCTAGAACTGGCCCTGCTTCTCAGAACATGACTGCATAAGGGTGTGTATGTGTGTGTGTGTGTGTGTGTGTGTGTGTGTGTGTGTATGTGTGTTTTGGAGGGGATCTCAGGTAGATGGAATAGTCTTAAACAAGGTATGTGGAGAGGGGAGGGGAAGCTAAGAGGCAACATGGTATATTAGATTGGGCACTGGATTTAGAATCAAAAGAGCCTGGATTTAAATCCTACCCCACTTTATTAGCTGTGTGTCCTTATGCAAATTATTATAACCTCACTGTGCCTCAGTTTCTTCATCTATAAAACGAAGGAGTTGGACTCAACGACTTCTAAAGTAGCATCTAGCTCTAATCTATGAGCCTCTTTTACTGACATAACTCAAGACAGAAATTCTGGTTATGGGACAACCAAAGCCCAGATGGGCTGGGAAAATCCGTACAAGGACAGGCTAAGGATAAGGTTCTAGGGCAGACGACTGTTAGTATTGATGATTCCTTGAATGACGTTCCTTAGAGGCACATTCAAGACTCTAGTCAGAGCTTAATGTGATCCTCTGAATTTGGCTCTCTCGGTCAGCCAGGGAACTGTCTCAACATCCCCTGGGCTGTGTGGCCTCAGGTAGGGGGCGGGACGCCATTACCTCCTTTGGTGCACGCTCCCAGCAGGTTGACAATGTTCAAATGGGGCCCAAGATGGCTCATGATCTTCAGTTCGGACATAAGGGCCTGCTTCTCACTGCTCCTGGCAGTGGCTGAGACAAAAGGGGAGAGAGGAGAAGAACAGAGCAGTTCAGACCCTGGCATTAGGGCCCTTTCAGAGAAGGTCAGCCCAATCCAGGGCTGTGCTGATAAAACAACCGGCTCTCTAAAAAAAAAAAAAAAATTGAACCCACAACACACTTTTAATTTAATGTATTATTTGCATTTTCTCCACTTTCTTCAGGCCAGACAATCAACAAAACAAAAAATTATTAAATGATTTGCAGCATTTGTAGATTTCCAAGGTTTAAATGCTCATACTAAAAATTTAACAATCAGCTCTTGTGAGTAGGTTTGAGCTACCCTACCCCAAGATCCCCATTCCCAGAGAAAGCTTCTTGCTGGCCCCAGGCATAGCATGGCTGGAAACAATGGTCCACAGAAAGGACTTACTTCATCAGACTTCTCTCCTCTCCCAGAGCCTCCCAGGTGGAAGTGGGGTATCTCCCTACACAAGAGAGGGGACCCTAAACCTGCCCTTCCCAGGCCACCAGCAAAAAAAGGGGCATAGGAGAGGTGGATCTAGAATGAGGAGGGGTTCCTGCAAAAAAGTAAGGAAGAGCAATAGGACCAGAAGAAGAGAGGAATAAGGTGGGGAAGTGGTTGAAAAGAGGCCAGCAGAAAGGAAAGAGAGAGGGGAAAGAGATTGAGGAGGCTAAAGGAAAAAGGAGAGAGAGAAAAACTCACATTTCAGCATCTTGACAGCCACCTTCATCGTGGCCTGGGAGTGGCTCAGTCCATGGGCAGTGGCCTCCACTACTTGCCCAAAGGCCCCAGAGCCAAGGGTGCGACCTGCAA